CAAGCCAAGGCAGAGATAACATCTTCTAACATCATACAAGTTACCTCTGATGCAGCAGATTTGTTGTTATTTGTAACAATCAATTTCTTCACGTTGAGCATTCTATACAGTGCCTCTCCAATCCTCTCTCAGTAATGTTTTAACAGCCTGAGATGCCAAATTATTCCGGAAGCCCTGTTGATACTTTTTCAAAGTCCTAGTCATAGATATTTTTGCCATACTTAATGCTAAGGCACTTGAAATTTATGAGATTACACAGGTTACTCAGACCTTCGTAATGCAAACCTAATGACATCGATTACTTCCAGAATATGGTATGAATTATTTGCATTGGGTAAGTCGGAAGTACCATCCTTATTTGAATCTATCCTTAAATTTGAATCTTTGAACCTCACTTTGCTTCTGCGATGTGCAAGAAAGTTACATACCGGCCCCGGGAAACGTACCGATCCGAGGAAGCATATCGACTCTNTCTCCGGAAACTTATCGACTCTGGTAACTTACCGCTCTTCGGAAACTTATCGACTCTGGTAACTTACCGCTCTCCGGAAACTTTTCGACTTTGGTAACTTACCGCTCTCCAGAAACTTTTCGACTTTGGTAACTTATCGATTCTCAAATACTTATCGACTTCAAGAAATTTAACTTATCCACTATTGATCAGTTGTTATTGTGTTATCCATTCTAACCGACATAGATTCAGAGGTTCTAACATTGAACGGCAGTGTCGCTCTTTCATGTTGTCTTTTCTTGAGCTTCCTCATATATCACAGACGCTGTGTGAGAGTGTAGCTGCATCGCGAATATCGTGAAAAACAGAAAACTGTCTATAAACTAGACACGTGTAATACGGCAGTATTTTAACAAAAGCAAACCTCTTAACACATTGACAGCCGGTCCCGCGAAAACGCGGGTTTTTGAGTCTGTCGCTTGAGCGCCGGCCCCGCGAAAGCGCGGATTTCTGAGTCTGTCGCTTGAGTAGCTGCGACAGTAAAAAGAAGCGAGAGTAACTTTATGTGTGCTGAATGCTTAGTACCTTTACATCTTGGACAATGTTTCGAGAAATACCACACTTGCCTTAAATATTAAAACTTTTTTTTCTGTTTACGTTGTATAGACGTTGACCCATTTTAATCGACAAACGGAGATATCTCCGAAACTACGCAACCTACGAAAAAAATGTTCGGATAAAAGTTGTCGAGGACAGTGGGGGTCATCTGCCTGTACTAATGATCTTGAGGTCAGTTTTCAAGGTCATTTTAAGGTCAAGGTCACTTTTTTAAATGGAACCCTCTATTTTTAATGCCGGATTCAGAAAGAGCGGGAAATTTTACATCATAATATGTATCAAAGTATAAGGTTAACGTGACCTCCATAGGTCAAATGAAGGTCAAGGAACCACCCCTACCAAACCCCAAGCAGGCTAAACCACCTAACTCTGGGAACAGCGAGTTTAACCTAGTGATATCTGAAATCAGACAAGTCGGCCTCCGCTCTATACTAATATATTATTAATGTTTCAAAATAAGTCCGGACGTTACAATATATTCCCGCACCATGGTTATGAGACAGGACTTCTCTCTCACCCTGGCCATATTATATATATGCCATATATGTCAAAAATGATCACCAACCGCTCACTGATTGCTAGTATTTTCTGAACGTAGGCAGTGAAATTATTATGCCTACTATGAGCGCTCACAATGCCAAAGGCTGTCTACAATAGAGTTTTAAGCCTTGACCAATTACAATTGATTATTCTTCTATAATTCGATTGTGATTGGTTAATTTCTTCACGTTTACAGCTTAAAGTACCTATTGTAGATTAGGACAAAAGAAACAGTGAAAGATGCTTATAAGCGCTTAAAACGCGTAAGCATCCAAAAAGAACGCACCCTTGGAATATGCTAACCTAAAACAATATTTTGATGGATTCTCCAATTTAAATTTACGCAATCTGTTATCAAATAAAAAAATATTGGGAGAAACGCACGAAGATAGGAATAAAAAAACTTATAAAGGACAAATATCGGTAAGAAAAGTAGCTAAAATATCACATGCTAACTTCGTTTATAAATACAGATGAAAATTCTCTAATGAATGTCTAAAATTTAGAAAAAGTACACAAAAATAATCTATTATTATATTATGGTATTATATGGTATTATATATTATATGGTATGTGGTATTATACAATTAGGTAATTGGATATGCAAAGAACTTAAAAGACATTGTTCTTTTTTCCCCTAATAAACAATGGCATTATCAACAACCTCAACATCGCCAACTGATAATTTAGCAAAATTACCATGGGAGCCACATCGACTTTCACACTCTAAGCCATCATTTGACAGTCAGGAGATGGCCCTCGCAAGTCGTAAGGATTTATGGCATAAATTTATCATCTTTGATGGTGCTTTGCATAGTCAGACCGATGTCTTACATGCTGTAGTAACTGCCTGTGAACCAGAAATCCTAATACCAATTATGTATACCATTGAAAATAAAAACAAAAGTACATTCCTAGCAAAATGCAATAGTACTACCATTGAAAATATGGTAAAGCAAGGGTTATGCGTAGTATTGCCAGGTGGCCAGGAATTGGTCATGGACATTGTGTTAGGATTTCTTAGCATGCATAAGCTACCATTAAATACAAACAGAATCATTGTGCAGGCCCTGCGCGACAGATACGAACCAGTAAAAAAAGTATTTAATCTGGACGACTTCGAGAATGAAAAAGCGCTGGGCTCGATATTCTGTCCCATCTCTATACCAAAAATTCTACACTTTGTTCTGCTTTGTAGCAAAATGGGAATTATGGGTAGCAATCGGGAACCCAGATTGCCGGTTCGCGAATTAAGCCTAAAGAATAACAAGATTACAGCTATCATACTATTTGACAAATTTTTCAGCTACCATCTAACTAAATTGGACTTGAGACATAATCAGATTTTGGATGTGGAATATTTACGTTATTTCTGTGAATTTAAGATAAGTGAACTCTGGCTGGATGGGAATCCGCTGTGCACGAGATATACAAGCTCTCAGGAATATGTACATGCTGTAAAAAATGTTTTTCCACACCTGCAGAAGTTAGATGGAGTTGTGATAGGAATAGAAAAAAAGTTTGTACCTTGCATACAGAGTAATTATCTCGGCAATGGAACAAAGATCTCTTTGATCAAACAATTCGTCAGACACTTTTTTACATTGTACGATCAAGATGATAGAATAGTCATGAATGGTTTGTATGACAAGAACGCGGTTTATTCCATGACATTAGGTACTACAACGAATCACACATATAAGGAGATCATCAAAACGTTCTCCACAAACAGAAATTTGTTGAAATTCGTCGACTATGCCAAGTGTCACGAATTCTTGCTGTGGGGACCCGAGAAGATAATTAGTGCGCTACAACGGCAGCCACCAACGTTACACAATTTTAAGACTTTCTACATTGACTTGTTGAACGAGGGAGACAATCATATAGCCATTTCGGTGCAGGGATTATTTTCATATCGAACATTACCCTGCTCGCCCATGTTGTTCAATCGAACTTTCATTATTGTACGAAAGGAAGACAATGAATATTGTATCACTAATGATCAATATTATATCGATGGTACGCCTGCGAGTAACAGCGATGTAAAATTTGAAACTAAATCTGCTCCGAAATTTTCACCGACGGTGCTCAGTGTGTCTGAGAAGGAACAATTACTTCGATTTTTACGTGAACTCACTACGATGAATATTCGATACTGCTACAAGTATCTTCAGGATGCGGAATGGGATATAAGAAACGCGATCACTATGTTTATGCAACATTATGCGGTTAACAATGTACCTCCAGAAGCTTTTCAATAAATTTATATTGTAAACTTATGTGGCCTATAAAAGATTAAAATTTTATATTATATATAAATATTCGTGCAAAAAAAGATACACGAGTTTTGTTATTATTTTCATTTATATGTAAATATAATCATTGATATTAATGTTATTATATATAATATAATTACTTTTCAATATATCAATATCATTATAATTATCGTGGCTTGCAAAGTAGTGAAGGACTTTTCCGCTCAGTTCGATGAATTTTACCTGCACATGAATGGATGTACACTCAGTGTCTGTGCAATATAATTATCACGTGTACATATCAGAATTGGAAATAAGATGTTACTCTTTACAAGTAACACGTTATATGTATATACTTTTCAAATCTGTAAAATATATGTCTAGATGTCCAGCTATTCAAAATTGTTAAAGAAAAAAGATTTTATATGACGTTAAAATCTTTTTTATCCACTTTTCTATCTACGTACATCATAACATCTACATAATATTTTACAGCATTAGGAAGTAACGCGTTATTTTCGAAAATTAATGTTTTACGCAAACTAATAATTACATTTTACCGTTGCCTAAAAAATGTAATTATCTTATCGTTATCGTTACTAATAAAGATAACATTGTTATTAAATCATTAAAAATAAAAATTATGCTACAAGTAACGAGTAACTTCCTAATTCATATACAAAATACTGCACGCTCGTGTGCGCAGATATAATTCTTACATATATACACACACAAAATTTAAGCATATATTGAAATAAAGATTTTTTACTAATTATTTTACTCGTAAATATATATTTAATATTTATAACGTGATGATTACAATGTTATCCCTGTTATTGTATATAGATATTTTTTTTTTATTAACAACCTTGTTGTGTGTTTAGCAGTGCGATGGCTTTAATGATGAAAGGTATCGTATTGACGCTCGAATTTACTCCCAACTCGAACACTTTCTTCATCAATGGTAAAGCGTGTTCTATAGATAGAAGGAAGAAATTCATTTGTTACAAATCAGCATCGTAGGGAATTATCCTAATTATAGTATTAATTTATTATAAAATATTATTAATATTCTATGAATCAGCATTCCTTACCTTGCATACATAGTACAATGTCTGGTAGCTTTTCCAGAGCTGATAGAAGAACATCTGCTCTATGACTATCCAAACATCGCTGGAATGCCGACAGTATGTTCGCGTTTGGCAAAGGACGGTGCTTCAGCGCTCTAGCGAGTAGGGTGTGCGCCAAAGTTCTAATATTACCCTGCGGCGATACCAGCAATTCCGCTATGTTGTCCATTATGGGTTCCAAAACCAAAGGCCTTCGCGACGATAAGTGCTCTATTTCTTGAAGCGCGTTGAATACATCTGCTCATATAAACACATGACATCTTCATATTGTGAAAGACAATTGCAGGAGACTAAACGACAAAAGTTAATTATCAGCACAGGACATCTTCCATGTCACATGCAAGATAATCGCCACAGTAAAAGTCAACTGCGCTAACATTGCTCAATAAAGAAAAAAGATGTACATAAGGGAGACACTGCACTGTACCTTCGCCATGTAGTTTGGTGAGCGTAGTCAACAATGATTGCCAATGCTGCGGAATAGCAGGTTCCGCGGGTAAAAGTGTGGGAGTTATGGTGATCAGAATGTCATTCGCGTCGTCTCCGTCCTTCGGCATCGGTATACTCGATACGAGTGCCCTCAAAGCGACCAAATGTACTTGCAACTCATGCAGAATATGTGCATGTTTCTGTAAATATCGCATCGCCCGTTGTGGATCATGTGATATATATGAGTGTAATAACGCCACAAATCTGTTCAACAGAGGGAGATCCTTGATAGGTCCGTAATTTTGAAAGCATTGAAAGTAATTTTCCAAGGTGTTCTCCAACGAAGTTTCATGTTCTTCCATAAACAAATGTGGTTGCAACAATTCCAGTAAACCCATGACTTGCGTGAAGAGATTCAAATGGTGGCCGGCTCGAAACTGACCGAAGTCAAGGTAACACCTTCCCATCAATGAAGACGCCAACATCGGCAACTGTCGTAGCACCAATATGGGATGTACTGCGGCCATCTTTCTAGCACAGAGTTCGAATTCTTGTGATTTAGAGTTCCAGGACTTCTGCCTGGGCGTAGCTGCCAAAGCTGTCAATAGAGAATGGCTCATACAATCGAGTACTGAGCCCACCCAGTCGGTTATTTTCGCTCCATTAACGAAGTTGTTTGTTTGATAAGTGCTCAGGTAGCAGATGACCTTAGGAATTTTCATATACATATGCAGCAGAAATTGATGTGCCATATCCGAGTTTTCGCTGTAAATTATAAAGATCATAAAATTAATATAGCATGTAACTTCTCCTTTTAATCTATCTTTTCTCATGATTTTGTTAATTTTATAACTAGAATTTTATAACTATTTATTAATTGTTAAAGTAAAAGGGAAATTTCCGGAATATTTCGTAAATGTGCTCAATTAAGATCATAAATATCATTTTATAAGCACATATCCTTTCATTTCAATGTATCCCACAAGAATTTCGGACAGACATATATATGTATAGGTAAATATACATATATTTAGGAAAATATATCTATCTAATGCGACTTAATTTTTTTTTAAAGCTGCTGTTTTCCCGCCGCAGCCATCCAGATTAATGATATCAGAAACGAAAAGACAAAATTTTATTTCATATAACAAAATTTTTGTGAAACACATTAAAATAAAAAAAAATATATATTTAATGAGACATGCATCAACTACCGTTCAAACTTTAATGGTCAAATCTATGCGACGCCCGAATGAGTCTTCTCTAATGCAAACCTTGGTTGGGACAGTATCTTTCACAACATTTAACCAGTTAACTGTGGCGATCTCTTTGCAAAGCGCCCACCAATATGTGTCGCGATAATCAAGCGAGTTAGGTCTCAGGAAGTTATAAATCCAACTCAAATTATTTATAATTTTCATTTGTTTGTTTCATTTCGTCTTGACCTCTAAACATTTTACCCATATTAAAATTTACGAATATAATTTAGTTTTCGCCAGAATTACGATTTAAATATCAAATTGTAACAAAATTTTACGCATGACGTATATAGTCGTCATGACACAAGATTCTGCCACATCTCCATGACGGATATAGTCGTCAAACACACTTAACTGGTTAAAAGCAATTAAAAAATTAGAATATAATATATATGTAATATGTATATTACATATATATATATATATATATGCATAATTATAAAAATATCAATTATTTTTATATATTTACTTTTTTTATGTAATTAATAATTCTAATTTTTTAATTATATATGTATGTATGTATGTATGTATATATAAAACTATTCAATAATGTATTAAAACAGAAAGTGGCAGAAAATTAATAAGAGAAACGAAAAAATCTCTATAGTTATGCCTAACTATAAAAATATCAGCTTTGAATTGTTCGTAAGAATCTCTGTGAATTTATCAAACAATAACTCAATAATAATTGGAATATAAATATCGGTTTTTTGAGATGTAAAGGCCATTCTACAGATATCAGTTTGTAAGCAGTATCTAGTTTTTTTTTCTTTTTGTACTTTCACGTATTTTCGCTTCCTCAAAACATCTTTGTTCTCCGATCTGTCTTTTCGCAGATATTGTACATATGTCTGCCTTGAGTTAGTAGCTTCTTAATCATTTACAGTGTGTACAAAATTATTATTGTTATTAATATACAGGATATCTGACATAATGCATGCAATCATTCATGTGCAGATAAAATTTATCAAACTCAACAAGTCTTTTACCATTTTGTAAATAACCACGATAATTATTGAGATTTTAATTAAAAGATATCATCGAGAATGTGAGTGCGCGAAGAGTAAGATGACTTCTCACTACACAATTTCACGGCCAAGCATTATCACCCAACGCCCGCCAAAAGATTATCATAATGTTGCCACAGAAGATAAATTTTGAAATTCCTTGATTTTTTCAAGTTTTCCAGACGATAATATAGAATTTTCCATGACTAATATGTAATTTTCAATATTAACGCAGAAACAGGAATTGCAGAAAAAATGGCTTATATTATTAGAAACCAACACAAACTTAGAAGTTTAGTAACATAATAATAATCCTGAATGCAAATTCAGGCCAACAAAAAATAAATGAATATTGGGAAAAAGAATAAGAACAATTATGACAGAAAAGGGTAGTAAAAACGTTGAATAATATTGGCCCATCACATTCAGTTATTCTCGAATATAATCGAATATATGTCACTTTTTTCACTGTTTGAATTTTTCTATGTGCCACATCCCTGACGCGTAAGAAATGATTTGTAAAGTGCACAAGTTTGCACGCATTTGACTATAAATGTTAGATATATTTAATATTTCATATTTAATAATATTTAACAAAATTATTATTATTGTTTATTATTATTAAGTATTCTTTATAATAAGAACATTTAAAATAATTGTAAGCAAAGTTCAAAATTCTAAGATCTTTATATCTCTGACTTTTCCAGATTTTGCCTGGCCAATTTAAATTTCCATCACTTTTCTCATTTTTCTGCTTTTCCAGGTCTGTGGCAATCCTGTATTTCAGTTAGATTCGAGGTATTTTTTATGAAACTTGGATAAAACGAACATGAGTTCAATGCCACATATCCTGTATGTATTAAGAAAAATACATATAATTATGAAGTTTATACCCGTTATTACCCATCATACGTTCCGCTAAATAGACAACTACACCGACAATCAAATAATCCTCAGTGCATATACAATGTAACAGTAGATCCAGTCTGATGTACATCTTAGCGAGAGCGGCGTTTCTGTTCTGCATATTACAAATATTAACAGCTTCGGCCACTATGTATGCTACTAAGTGAAGTAACTGCTGTTCTTCCAACAATAAGATATTTTCTGGGACATAGTGCTTCGGTGTGAATTTGTCTCGGCCTTGCCACAGTTTCGGATTACATGTGAGCGCCCATAAGAAATCTAACACAGCAGTTGGATCATACCTACAAACGAGGGTTAGTGAGAATATAAGTTTCGATATCTACACAGAACTTCAATAATGATTAGAGTATTTTTACCCGTCATATCTGTATATTCTTATATTATGACTGTTAATTTTAAGAAGAATCGACAATTCAGCCATATTAAATGCAACAATAATATATACGATGAATGCATATACGCGCTTTATTGTTACATTTAATACGACCGATTTTTCTCAAAATCACAGTCATAATACAAAAATATGTAGACTGTACAGATACGATGCGTCCAAACCGAAATATCTTAACCGGAAGTGAAGAGCATTATTGGAAGTTCTATGTATAACGGTACAAATATAAAAGTCGATAAAACTTCGCATATAAATCACATTCATTCGCGCACACTGAAAAGATCATATATACGCGCACATGTGTGTACGTGAAAAGAGAGAAAAAACGATTATTACACTTTCGCTTACCCGTCGTCGCATTTACTCAGCAAATGTTGTACACATTTGTACAAAGTAGTCCAACTAGCTCTGTGTGTCAGTAGAGTCAACAAATACGGCCTGCAAGAATGTGAGCTCACGGTATTCCCGTCGAGAACAACTTGTACTTTCGTTTTGCCAAATAAGAGCTTCATCTGAAGGTTGGGACAAGCGCCGATCAACTCGGGCTCCACCGAGGCCAACCAGTCGATCAACAGACCCGTGCGAGGTTTCAACGCACCCTCGTTGCTGTCACTGACTAACAATTTCGCCATTGCTTCGACCAAGACGTCGTTCTTCTGCTGTTTGAGACAGAGATCCAGCAATCTACGCCCCACGTCCTCCAGATTCACGGGATCCATGCCTTCCAATATCGAACCTGGATTCTCGTGATTCTGCATCAATCTCAGTAACTCCGTGCGTTGCGACGTCTTCGTCAATTGTACATTGGCAAAATCCCGGAGGATCGACAATACCGGGGCCTTCACATCGCCTATCAACGATATCAGATTCAAGCACATGTTGCGTGCCAACTCGAGCACGTGTTTCGACATAGTCGGCTTCTTCAGCGGCAGCAGTATCATGCGCATCAACGTGCACGAATAATGTGGTATGCGCACGAGCGAAGTCAAGAACTGTTCGACCTGCATGGAGCTCAACACGCTGCATATGTGTTGTATCGCCAGCACCACTGCACCGCTCTCCTTTGTGGAACGTTGTAGGTCCTTCGACAGGATCTTGTGGAGGCGCCGATATGCGTCCATCTTCTGATTCATGGGAATATTCTCGATGAACAGTCGGTTTATCAAGTGAGGTACGTCAGTCTTGACAGAGCACTGTACAACTGACTGTTTTTGTATCGTGGCGCTCGGTGGCAACGGTTCCTGCAACGTTTGAATTGACAAAACGCTCTCGTCCGGCAACTGCGGCTCTAGCAGTTGCAACACTTGAACGAACACCAGACCGCCTGTTGCGCCTCTTCTGTGTTGCACTTGGACCAGCTGTGCCATATACGTTTTGTCCAGTACTGCTTCACCAACCGATCCCGGGTCGATTTGAACACCAGCGTCCAACGTATGCAACAATTTACTCATAGATGATACAGGTATCCCGAAACTTTGTATAAAAAGTACCAACTGCTGGGGTTCGAGGTCCTTCAAGGCAGCATCGACTAACCGTGGAACGTTACTCCTGATCATTCTCAATTTGAGCCAATCGGGAATCAGTAACGCTTCCTCGCTAGTATCGACGAGGAAAGCCTTCGGCGGCTCCGTTAACGGGAACCATGTCTCCAGAAGATTATTGAACAACGGATCGTCCTCAGATGTGTCGTATGTTAACAGTATAATCATGGCATGAACCACAAGGATATGCATAGTGCACTCTTCTCCATTACTCCACTGAACCAAGATCTGGTCTTGACTTTCGGACCATTGATATCCCTCACCTCTCGGCAAGCGGGCTTTTTGAAGATAATTACAGAAGATCGCCATAAAAGCGTGCAGAGTTTGTCTGGCTTGCTGATTGTCGCTCTCCGGTTGCGGGAGAATGGCCGCGATGATTGTGCTACGTTCAACCACCAACTGGGATATCTCGTTGGCCAAGTCGGTTAAATCGGGCAGATCATCATGGACGGTGTGCGTAGCCAGATACGATATGTAAGCTTGCACCAGTTCGGGACTGTTCTCGACCTGACAAGCGCCACGCAACGCCGTAGAGAGTAAGGAACGTACTGATAAAAAGTGAGGTATGGATGGCAGCTTTCGTAGAAGCCATTTTTCCCTAAAACGTAAAATCTATATAAGATACTTCCTTCAGAACTCGCGAACTTATCTCTCTCTTTCTCTCTAACGATGCCGGATCGTGGAAAGTAGGAGTCCCCATCACTTGACACGGGATACCACATGCATAGCATATCGCGTAGCCAAACGAAGGCTTCACTTGGCCACACATATATACAGCGCGTCTCAGAACTATTGTATGTCCTTAACATGATAGATTCTTTGCTATATTCTAAGGTGAAAGTTCAAATATGAAAGTGGCGAAGCTACAATAATTTTTAAATTACAAGCGACTAATCGTACAGCTGAAATTTCCCGTGCTCAGATATGACAACATATATGGTATAATAAGGATGCTATCATGATGGATTCTTTTGACAATTTTGGTACAAATATGCAATATAATTCTCATCAAGTGGTAGTAGAAGCTCTCACATCCCACGATCTCTGCTTACCTTTCGTTCTCTCCATCCACATCCATACTTTCATCTTCGAGAGGTATCGAATCCAGGATCATTCTCAGTCCTGTGATAGCTTGGAGACGACTGCTACTTTGCTGGCTACTTAGTCGTCTGAGAAAGTACTCGAGGACTTCATAAGCGTGCTGCTGATTTTCGTTTGGGTCGGTCAGCAAGGTCTGAAGATGGATTAGAAGTTGCTGTTGTCTGGGTTGCTTCTCAACAGTTTGCGGACTGGTAGTCAATAGGTACTCGCATAGGCACTGCACCGGCAGCTGACTCAATGAACCTTCGCTGTTTTGCACCAAATCCGCCAACCAAGGCATGCTTTGCGACGTGTTCTGCTGTTGACGCTGAATGATATCTAGCAAGAAATCCGGCTTACGTGATCTACAAATCAGATGGCCTAATCGGAGAGTCGTATTCAGCAACTGTATCTGCTCGAGTATGACCGGCGGTGGTCTTCTCGCGATTCCCGTCGGATCCATAGAAATCAATTGCGATAGCAGGAAACTGTTTTGCTCGGACAATTGCATTCTGGTAGACGCCGCCGCAGCTAAATGCGACTCATATTCTAATATGCCCTGTTTCTCGATGGCTTCGACCTGCAGCTCTTTCGCACGCTCTTGCTCCATAATCTCCGGCATGGCCATGGTCGGCAGCGGGTAAGAAAAATGATTAGTGATGCACATTTCCATCAGCGTTCGCAGGATAGGATATTGCTTCCACGCGAACATACCAATCGAGGTTGGATTATGAGCGGCTAGAATTAATATCATAATCCATCCTTTCCAGTAGAGATTGGATATCGCCAATGACGGTGGCACATAATCTACAGGTATATTTATCGTCCCCGGTGGCTGATACACGGAGAGATTAAAGATGAAATCAACGATGTCTGTCTTGTCAACTTTTAACATTGGGAAATTTTCCGACGAATTGGCAGCGGCTCGTCGTATCAACTGATCGGCTAATTCTAAGGTCTCCAAATGAGTGATACTGTTATCCTTTGAAAGGCCGAACAAAAGCAATCTGCACAATGTGGTTTCTAGGAAAGGTACGTCGGATACCAGTCGTAAGTAAAACACTCGATCTGACTCCGGTGGCCAGTTGTCCAGTTTATAATATTGCTCGTGAGCCTCTAGGAGTAGGACCTTGTGTAACGCGTGCAACAGCTCGTTCCGCCCGATAGAATACATTTGCTGCGCTGAGTTTTGCAACCACACCACTGCCTCGTGTTGCATCGTGGATACGACTTTCTGGAAATTTTTCAACAGAGTCACATCCTTCTTGTCCGCACGCTGCGACAACGTCGCGGCTTCCTTCACCTGCGGGCTTATCGCCATCAGCATGCAAAGGCATAATAGGTCCGCTATAGACATGAACATACGATCCTTGAACTCAAAAGTCAACAACTGCTGAGCCAAGTCCGCTCTCTCGGACATGAGCGTTCGCGCGAAAATAGTGAGATTGATGTCGTGCCGGCACACGCGCACAATCTCGCGGAACAACGTGCGCAACGGTCTCAGATAATCCTCGCGATTCATCAGCAACTCTTGGAAGATTTCCGCAAGCAACTTCGCCGCCTGCTCTGGCAACGTTTGAAACATTATCGCCAACATGGGCATATTGTTCGGATTGCGCGCATTCGACAGTTCGTTGTAGATCGTGTGTTTCAGCATAGTAGTCAAGTTCTCCGGATGCAGCCCTATTAGTTCTTTGACACCGTTCAAATACATATTGATGACAGCCTTCGTCTTCAATCTCATCTTCACCAGCTGGCTGATAACCTCGACGTCCCTTTGAGTATGAGTGGTGCAGTTGTAGCATACGTAACTGAGCAGTTCCTGCGCGGTTCTCATCAACTTGGGATTGTGCAACCACATCTCCAATCTTGGAACAGCAATATTTCTGATCTCGACAAAACCACAAGTTGCAGAAAGTAGTTTCAAAAAGTTCCTCGTAATGGACTCTGGTTGACGCCTATTCAGTTGCTCTTTCACTGCTTCCAATACTATAGACTCTATGTTTTCCATACAATGCGCGTATCGCGGACTCACGGAGAACTCTATTTTTTCTTTGTCCGCAGATAACGATGTTGCCAAGGTCGTCGGGTCTTCATCATCTACTGTAGATGGGCTTTGACAATCTCGCGGCATTAATACCGGAAATTCTGACTGCAGAGCAGACTTGGGCGGTTGCCTTGTGTTAAAACCGGTTGATATATTGTCGATAAAGCCTTTACTTTCTTCGTGATCGATCCATATACGTTCCCCGAGAGCGTCGTCCACATACAGCTGCGGAAATAGATTAATAAAAATATCGAAGTTATACAATTAAGAGCATAAAATATCATAAAAAATGCCAAACCTTCACAAATATTTCTGGCCAATTTTTCTTATCGTGAAATCCTCTCATGAGAAGATTCGCGGCTAATAGTGGAACCATGGGATTTCCTTTGCTCTTAAAATTATAGGTTTGATCTCTTTTTAAAAGAGATGACAAGGCGTGCAATATACAATCATTTGAGAAAATAGATGGACGAATTTTTGCCAGATATAGCAATTCATAGCAGATCAATTGATCAGGCTTCCATTTCTGATTTTTCAGTGTCTTTATAGCACCACATATTATTCCTATGACTTTGTCACCTTCATCATTCTCATTAGCCTCGAGTGCCATAGGAACTATGTCAGCAGGATCAATATCTATAGCTACAACTTCCCAAGCTTCCGCACTAGGGAAAGGTGGCCGTTGGTGACCGACATGACCTGCTAACTTAGGCTTCTTTTGTGGTAAATATTGAAATGACTGGAGTGATCCTGAAGGTGCATCTTTTTTCCGGTCACCACCTATATAACCGTATATGTAGGTTGATATACAGATATATACATAAATATAAATTCATGATATATTAGTAATGATATATTATTATTGAATAGGAATCAAAAATTATCAATATGAAAATGTGCCAAGTTATTTACCAGAGGTCGCCAAACTGCTACTTGCTTTTGCATGAACAACGCCTGGTCTGTTTTTAGTATCAGAACTTTCATTTCGTGAACTTTTCGATCCTAGTGCAAATAAATCAGAGGGATGTTGAGCAATCTTACTTTTTGCAGCTCTTCCAACTCCTGCTTTTCCACGATCCATGTAATTGTTCAGTTATAAGAACTATAGGATATTAAAATATAAATTAAAATTTGATTTACTTAAAATACTAATATAATGGTTATAGTATAATAAATGTTAAATAATATATATAAATATATTAAAAAAACATCGTAATTTTGATTGAAAATATGCATAAGTTAAAATATAATGTTTTGTAAAACTTATTCTTACTTCTTTCAATCATATACCCAATAATCAAGAATAATCTAATAATCACTGATTTATTATAAAAATAGGTCATTATACCAAATAAAATATATTCAAGAATAAGAATTTAAGGCTCCTAGTGCAAATATAAAATTAACACTCGAATAACAAGACTGGGTCATATCCAACCGGATCCATATTCTAATATTTCTGTGTACACGCTTCTGGTACGTTATATTTCAGGTACTTTACATATTTTGTGGTGTATTTTATTTTTACATATTTTCTAACTTGTGAAAATAAAGTGTTAAGTCGGAAAAATTAATTGAAAAATTACAAAATACTTCTACTGGTCGAATCTGACATACGTTTTCTATACGTATGACTGTATAGAAAATTTGTTATTCGAAAGTTAATATAACTTGCAACCTTCCGTTTTAATCTATTTTCTCATTAATTTCACTCATTGATTAATTGTTTTTCACGTTAATTCTACGGCTATTTACTGTTCGAGAAAAATGTTCGGAGTATTTTACGACAGATGCGTTGAGTCAAATGTCATTTTATAAATATATTATTTTATTAGAATAAATCATAATTCTGAGTAAAAAATTCTCTCTCTCTCTCTCTGTCTTTCTCTTTGACGTCATAAAACTAGATGGCCAAGAAAAAACACAATAACTTTAAGCAGAAATAAATTTAGAAAAATGCCTGATTTTATAACCTATGTTAACATATATATACCTTCTATCACTATAGGTTCGAAGTACGCTCAAACGTTTATACGCTTTAGACGCTCATAACTCCGCTTATATCTTTCGGCCTCTGACTACTACTGGAGCGCGAATCAACAAATTCCAATTTTGTCTCCTTTGGTCTGTTCTTTTTAGCTACACTGCTGAATTGGTAAAATAAATTATGGCTTCTGTCCACAGAACGCGGCAACGCTTGCCGCGCGGCGAAAGTTTGTGCGGTAGCCAATCAACATACCGTTTTTTGCTAAGTTTAAAAGTTTATTGGCTACCGCGCGAACTTTCGCCGCGCGGCAAGCATTGCCGCGTCCTATGGGCAGAAGCCATTAAAAGGAGACAAAATATACTTGTCTCACTCTAATGTTTTGCACCAATCCAGCAGTGCAAAAAGAATAGACTAAAAGAACTAAAAAAAAAACAGACCATTTGTTTCAATTAATCAATCCACTTTAAGCGTTCTGAATACAGGCCTTAATATTTGGCTCTTGCTTTAACTAACCTATCATAGGTCTGTTCATGTTGCTTGCATTTTTGACACTTTTATACCTAACGCCTGTTGTATATTAGCCTCTTTTAAAAAAGAAGAGCTATCATTGGATATCTCTCATCGCATTGTGTGCAAAAGGCATTAGATACAAAGTGTCAAAAATGCAAGCAATGCGAATAAATCCCATGACAAAGAAATCTTTGGTTCTGATTGGTCAATGAAAGCTACTCTATCCATCGAATAAGATTTTGGAACGCAGCCTAGAAGGAAAAAAAGATTTCTAACCAAGAATAATATTAGCTATCGGCGTGGGAGACGAGCCTTGGGCTGTTCACAGCCATAATTGAGAAGGAGAGGAAGAACTAAGAGTGACAGACGTATATGGTTAGAGAGAAAAATCGTTGTAAATTGATGAATATAAATCTTCTAAAGTATTAAAACGAAAAGAAGCTAAAGTAAGAAATACATATAAATACCTGCCAAATTTATTATTATTACATAAGTATATATTTAAATACAATATATAAATATAAATAAATGTATCAATTATCTATCGAAAAGATATTTTTTACATTAATGTAGTACTTCATACAATCATATCACTGAAATTAGAACATTAAAAGAATATAATGTATGGTCCAATATTTTGTAAAATTATTAATAATGTTTTAAAATTATTCACAGGAAATAAAATCATAAGAAATCACCAAGAAGAATAAAAAATGACAAGAGTGCCAGATCAAGAATTGAAGCAAGCTTTCTCAAAGCTGCAGGAGAAAATGGTAGATACCTCGCAGAAGTTAAAATTGGCCGATATACAAATTGACAAATTGAAACGTACAAAACAACGAGCGGAACTCACTATGAAAGAAATTAACTGCCTTCCTGAAAATACAAGGATATATGAATCTGTTGGTCGGATGTTTCTTCTAGATGACATAAGCAGCATCAAGATCATGTTGGACAATAGAATGAAAACATCAGATGAGAAGGTCAAGAAGTTAGAAAATAACAAAACATATTTACAACGAAGTTTGAAGGAAAGTGAAGACGACATAAGAGAAATGATACAGCAAAGACAAAACAAAGAAACATCTGGTTAAATATTTGTACAATTACATATTAAACGCAAGCTTAATTCTCCATTCAATCTGCCTGCTTTAATTGTTATTCACATTAAATATCTAAAGTTACATATTTATGCAAAACTTGTATACTCATAAATGTGATCACATTTTCCATGTTCATACAATTTTGTAGTGACACACATTTTCTTCTTGTATCATATATTTCAAATAAAATTCTTCAATGACTCACTTGAATAACTTGTGATAGCTAACTCAAGTAAAAGAGAAAATTCCCAAACTGAAAAAACTGTGTAAGCATCATGCAAAATAAATAAAATTTTTAATCAGATGACAGCATTAAATATACAGTCACATTTATATTGATCAAAATAATTAAAAATATAATACTTCTGTAAAAAATAATATTGTAAGTACACAAATAGTAACAATTTTAATTAAACAAATTTTCCTAATTTGAAGATTGCATCTTGGAAATCATTTACTCTATTATTCCAAAGATCAAAAAGAAATATATATAAGATTTATTGTATATATCCAATTATTTCTGAAGTAGATATTAAATATATCCTTTATATCCACTTTTTACCCATCACAAAACAAGTCATCCCAATAGTTTACTAACAAAACATAAAATGAATAAACCTAAAGAATCTTTATAACATGGTCACTCTCAGGTTTATCTATGGTGAAATCAAAACTGAGAGACCTATGACGTGAAACGTATTTCAAATTTTCGCGGCGTATATTCAAGATTAGAATGACAACATAACCTCTTTGTCTTAGCGAAATATTGGATGGTGAAGTGGATTTATATCGAAATATAATGTCGACATTAATATGGAGATCTTTGGTGTCGTTAAGTAGGATTTCTAATAATGCTTTCACGAAGGTATTTCACGAAAAATCTATATATTCTTAGGATTTAAAATTTAATGGCAATATTTTGTACATATTACAAATTAGAATTGTATATCTATTGTTATATGGAACTCTCTCTTGTAATAAGACTTTTTGTATATCTCATTCATAATTTTCCTTTCACTTCTAGTTTAGACATATAAGTACATCAAAAACTTTATACCAACAATCTGTTTTACCAAAGAATCCTAAGAAAATAAAGTCACCGATAACATGGCGAAGCTTGACAATCTCAGGTCTTGTTGGCACCAGCCTTTTGTTATATATGTATTACTTGAGGAAGGAAAAAGATATGGTTCTAGCACGGGAAAGGAAACGACAATTAGGCAAAGCTAAAATTGGTGGTAGTTTTGAACTAATAGATACAAAGGAAAAGACAGTAAAGTCTGATGACTTTTTAGGACAATGGGTATTGATATACTTTGGATTTACTCATTGTCCGGATGTTTGTCCCGATGAAATTGAAAAAATGACAAATGTAGTGGATAAGCTCGGTAAATATATTAAGTTTAGGTAAATTATATCAATCAGAATATACTCATTCCTATGATTGCAATTATCTTTTTTGTTTACAGAAAAAGAACACAACTTTAAGATACAACCAATTTTCATATCGGTAGATCCAGACAGAGATACACCTGTTGTTGTTGAAAAATATCTTAAGGAATTTTCAGAAAAAATCATTGGCCTCACTGGTAACACAGAACAGATTGCACAAGCATGCAGAGCATATCGAGTTTATTTCAGCAGTGGCCCTAAGGATCAAGATGATGACTATATTGTTAGTATTTTCTGAAGCATAAATAATCAATTTGCTTGACTTTGTACTATCACCTTTACCTCTTTTCAGGTGGATCACACAATTATCATATACTTAGTTGATCCAGAGGGTTTATTTGTTGATTATTATGGACAAACACATGATGTTGATAAAATTATAACCAGTATTCTTATGAATAAGTTGAAACATGATCAATTAAGTGGTGACTCTCCTTCCTGGTTGCCAGCATTATCAATTAAAGGAATATTATAAACATAAATCATTCCTACGTACAGTGAATTTTGATGTTAATGTTGTACAGTTAATTTATACGTATTGTACACTAGTGAACGTATGTTTATATGTATATATATATAAAATGTTTATATGTATATATATATAATATATAAATATATAGTACATGTAACCATTTTATCAATATTTTCAAATTGGAATAATTTCCACTGTATTTGTAGAAATGGGGTAGTTTGGTTCTTTCATTCACTCGATCTGTCAATTTTTATACATGATACTTTTTTTTTTTAACACTCGTTTAAATTTGTCATTTTAAGCTATTTTGTTATAAAATGGAATGTATGAAAAGCTTTATTCGATCTCTGTTCTTACCTTTGACACTCACAATTACATAACAATACTATAAAATGTATCTAATATTTTAGATATTTTTTTAATTTCTTCTCTCTATTTTCTTGACCAAATGGAAAACATACATATAAAGGGATTTTTTCATGGTAGCGTCGAGCGTAAGAATATAAGGATGAAACGTAAGCAGTTTATTGATAAGGGGGATAAGCTCATTTGAGGGACGAGGTATCTCCAAAACTGTGCCTGGATTTGATTGGTTGAATTCTGCTCATGCGCAATACCGCCACTTATAAATGGAGTATTAAGAACGTAAACGTATAATTCTGAAAAATATATGAAAAATTAATAAAATAGCGGATAAGAGGCGTTTCTATATGCAAAAATATGTTGAAAGAAATATATTTTTTCGTTTGAGCTTTCGTTTTCGAGAAAATTGAATTTGCAGATTTGCCAAAAAAAAACAAGAATGCGACCAACTTTTGACCGAATATGGACATTCTACATATAAGGAGGTTATTTTATTTTATACGTAAAAATCAATTGAAAATATAAAATAAAATCTACATGCATGAGCTGCAGCTTGTATGTATATATTTAATAATAAAAATTTTTGAAAGCAATTATGGAGAATAAATATTTAGTATAAAGTATTTATGAAACGACTTAAGTAATGGGAAAAATTGATGGATTTTGCTTCTAAATTTATTAAAAATAACACCCTCTATTACGTGCTCGTGTTAGAGGACGTTAACGGACGCAATGGACGTTAACATAAAACTTGTTCGCCTTGTTTACATTTTTTGCACTCAATCTCCTCGCTCTTCTTTTTTCTAGCGTCCGAATATGCATCCATCTCGTTCTACGTGCGAAAAGTGTACGTAAAACGAACAAACCTATAAACGCGAAGAAGTGCGCTTGCGCAAAGTAAAAACCAATCAAAACCAGGCATAGTTTTTACCTCGTCCCCCTCTCACTATAGCTTCATCCCTCAGAATTTACACTCTATCCTTATATTCCTACATCCATGGTCTCCATTTTCTTGTTTATCTCTTATCGATGATATGTTTTGAACATATAACACATTACAACATACTACAGTTAAAAGAGAATTTTACAATTATGATGGAAAATGATTCGTACTCAGCAGAGGATGATGATTCTTTGGATATTGCTTCGAAATGTTGGAAACGTGTCATAGATACTGCTACCAAGGTACTTTGAAATTTTTGATCAACAGTTACTTGTGATATTATCGGCGTGGAATATCATAAAATACAATTCCGTATCTGATGTATATATATCATTACACTTTTAGACTGGATATAGAGAAGGTATACAAGATGGAGCAGACTCTGTACTGCAAAAAGGCTTTGATATAGGATATGAAGATGGTTTTAAGACAGCTTTTATGTTGGGAAAATATAAAAGTCTAAGTCTTGTTTTATTGTCTGGTATAAAACATCCTGTGGATGTGGCTATTACTCTCGATAAAACTAAACAAGGCATATGCTGGATATGCAGCATGGAGTCACAAAATATAACTTGCAACTATGAGAGTATTTCATTTTCTGAAGTGCTAAACAATCAAAGAAAGCATTCTACAGAAATAATAAATAAACTACACGAACACTTTCAATCAGTTTTAAAAGAACCAAATATTAAGATTGGTTTAAACTTCTAACGAAGATAGATATGTTTTACCATTTAGAATAATCTATTTACTAAACAGGATCTTTCTCCTGCTTACAAAATATTTTTATAAATGTATTGCATTAATAACACGGCTTTCCTATAGAAGTTTTTATTCAGAGGCGTAAATAATTCTGGTTTAATCATACAAAGACCAGTAGTAACACAAATGATTTATAAATATAATCCTTCAGGAGAACCTTCCTTCTTTCGATAAAGAACACTTTCCTTAGACTTCTTGAAATCGTCACTGGTAACTTTCATACGTCGTTCACGTAGAGCCATTAAACCAGCTTCAGTACATATCGCCTGAAGAAAAGATTTTTATTTCAGATTCAGATTATTTCTTATAACGACTTATTTTAAATAAGATTCAGATTATTTCTTATAACGACTTATTTTAAATAAGAATATGTATACATGCGGAACATTTTATGTATATAAATGTATGTAGGAAGTACGAAATTTATACGAGACACGGGATATTTATATTTTGAGAAATAAAAGTTCTTATACCTTGATATCTGCACCAGAAAGGTCATCCTTTGCCATGATCAATTCTGCAAGATTCACATCAGGTGCCAAAGTCATTCGACTCGTATGAATATTGAAGATTCTTCTTTTAGTTTTCTCATCTGGTAATGGGAATTCTATTTTTCTATCGATACGACCAGGTCTGATTAAAGCAGGATCCAAAGTTTCTATTCTGTTAGTAGCCATAACTACTTTCACATCGCCTCTGCTATCAAAACCTGGCGATAATTTCTCAAAATTAATCAATGTTGTTTAAAAAAATATCGTAAGAATGTTTGTGCTATATATAAATATTTAGAGACTAAGTGTATGTATGTATGTACCATCAAGCTGATTAAGCAATTCCAGCATAGTTCTTTGAATTTCTCTCTCTCCACCACTGTTACTGTCATATCTTTTTGTTCCTACAGCATCTATTTCATCTATAAATACAATGGAAGGGGCATGTTCTTCTGCAACTCTAAAGAGTTCTCTTACAAGTTTTGGACCATCACCTAAATATTTCTGTATGAGTTCAGAACCAACAACTCTCAAGAATGTAGCAGAGGTCTGATTGGCAACAGCCTTGGCCAACAGTGTTTTTCCTGTTCCAGGTGGACCATAAAGTATTACACCTTTTGGAGGCTTGATACCCATTTCTTCGTAATATTCTGGATGAGTTAATGGTAATTCTACAGATTCTTTAATCTCCTGAATTTGAGTATCAAGACCTGGAAATATTTAATATATAATATTTATTATACAATATTACTATACAATATTTCTAAATTATTAATTTATATATAACTTGTTTTAAAAATAGATTTCTCTTAAATGAAAATTCGACAAGCATTATATCTTAATCACATTACATTTTTTTCTAAACTAAGTCTTAAATTCTGCTCTTGAATTACATTTTTTTCTTAAGTTATTACAAACTTTTATTTTAAAAATTCTTAGTTAAAAATTATAAATATTGAAATATTTCCGGATAAAAAGGGACACAATGAGTTGCACACACACACACACACATACATGTAATATATATATATAAATTTATTCAATATACCTCCAATATCAGTGTAGGTTTCTTGAGGAGCCTTTTCAAGTTTCATCACTGTAACCATGGGATCTGTATCATCCCCTAAAACTCCAACAACAGCATGTACTTTATGATTTAATAGCACAGAACATCCAGGTTCCAATTGATCTTTATCCACAAATGACAAGATGGACACATAATGTTCAGATCCAACTGAGGTGGACACTATTGCATGATTATCATCAATTATTTCTTCCAATGTTCCAACTGACATTGGCGTTCCACGAAGATCATCCACTTTCGATCTCTCTTCCTCATTCTTTTCTTCTTGTGGTTTTAAACGTTCCTGATTTCTGATAAATTCTTCCTCCATCAACAAATAATCTTTTATGCGCTCTAACTTCAAAAGCTTCAACCTACATCGTGTATGAGGTGTTACTTGAGGCAACTTTAAGGCTGCATCAGGTCCTTTGGTACGTCTTTTCTTCTTGCCCACTCTGGTAGGAATTGGTGGTTCATATTTCTTCTTCTTGTCTTTGTCATCTTTCTTGTCTCCTCCAGTACCTCCAGTACCGGACTGATTCTGACCCTATTATAATTTTATAACATTCAGCAGTGAAATATATAATAAAAGAATCTTATTATAGATTTTTCATAAAATTAAACAGTAAATAACCATTCAATAAATAAATTCAACTAACTTATGCAATTTTACTTCCGATAAAAGTTTATGGTTACATTTTTTATCTATTTGATATTATTACACAAAGTTAACATTTAAGAGATAAGTTAACCTAAAAAAACTGAGTAGTGTAAATGTCAGAAATTTAATAACCATACGAAATTGCTTTCTATTAAATAATAACAACTATTTCATGTTTTTAAAAATTAAAATTATCCCTAATAGGTAGAAATAGTCACTCCAAATTTTTTGACAGCCTTACCATTTTCCTTTCAACGCTTCACTATTGCTCGAAACGGCGAAGTCATTCGCTAGGACACGATTGTGCACTGTCGACGGGAAAACGTCAACTACCGCCATCTCGTCGCGATCGAGTAATTCGATTGGTTGAACTAATATTATCGACTTGATCAAATAATAATTGTAATATAAATAGTATATATAATATATAATTATAAGTACATAATAATTTTCAGTGTAATATGTATCTCGTTAAACATTTATCTGTAAATTTGAACTTGTTAGATAAACATAGCTACAGTGAAGTTCTGAAGTGTAATAGTGCTAAAAATGTCCCAATATTGTTAATCTTTTTCTTGAAATGTTATTATTAAAAAATGAAAAAATAGAAGAGTAAAATAAATTTATATTTAATTAATTACAAGTAAGCAAAAGACTATACTATTATTTTTAAAAATGTAAAAAATACTCCTTATTTTATACTCCTTATTTTCCTATTTTTAAGATCATAATTCTCTCTGAAGATAACTAACGTGTAAGTATGAAAAAATATTTTTCAAGAAAAACTGTTTTAATTACTTATGACTTTGTAGCAATTATTGATTTTATTGCTGTCACAATATTATTAAAATAATACAAAGAGTCCATTATTTAATTCATATGCTTTATGTGTTTCGTCATTGATAAATAATGATGTACAATGTATTTTACAACAGGACTAAAAGAGCACTTACATAATACTCTCATAACGCACAAAGCGCACATTCACTAGATGACAATGTAAACATATAGAGTGATAACAGCAGTGCACGATAACGTATGCTGCTATCAATACAACATGTTAATTCGCGCGCGATTCAAGTATCAAATGCTCGACTTGGCGATTCAAAATACTCGTCCGCACTCTGGCAGTGTACTTCGTTTATATGTACGCTAACGCAACGTTAAATATCTTCTACGCCACGTTGCATTATTTTTTTTTATTTAAAAACGATTTTGATTTACAAGATCGTAATGCGGTAAGAATATTTTGTTTTCCTATAAGTGCAAAGTTTCTGTCGAGGAACACGCAGCATATTTTTTACCAAGCTGACTTCATTCTGCTAATGGTTGGAGCTAATTTTGAGTAGATTCTTCTTTTAAAATTTTGTTTGTAATATCGAGGCATCAATAGCTTTTGTACTATAAATAATTAAGTAAGAAACGGAAATCAATTTTCAGAATAACAAATAGATGAAAAATTTATTCGTTGCTTAATCCCTAAAATCAAGCGATAAGATATCAATAGATTTTATTTCGACAAAATCTTATTTTCAGATCTGGTTAAAAAAGTACAATACTAAAAATTGAAAATTCCATAAAATAAGACATAAAAGAATGATAAAGAAATTTTTTCAACATTTTCTCTTGTCAAAAGATAATCGACTCAAAATTAAAATATATTAAGCGAGTATTTAAAATACTCGGCATAACATGTAACATGCTTGGAGGATATATTCTCCTCTTATTATCGATACGACTGCAATTCAACAATGCTAAATACGTAGATTGGTGAGATTTTATTTTTAGCTTGTGAAGATCTACATCTAATCAAATAGTTCCAAATTTTCTTGGCTTTCGATCCGCCGTCAAGTTCATTTCTTCATCACCAGGCTTCTACAAATTAACGAGATAAAAACGGAGAAAATAAGAGTACGAATTTGTGACGTCTCTTAGAATAACGTGTAATTATGCGCATATAGCGCAGTTATACAATTCTTACGCGCGCTGCTGTACTCATCAAAAAATCGATGATAAAAATCGTATCTAACAACAGATTAATATACCGAGTAAAAATGACTAACAATATTTTCAGAATAATAATTCAGAAAATGACAAAACAAATAGAACTAGCTCGCATGTTTATCCGTCGCTTGCGTGACACGCGGCGATTTTTCCGACGAGTACACTCGGGAAATAAAGAGAATTGAGATAAGGTAGTAAGACCTTAGTAGTTCCAATGATAAGTACTTTTCGGAGCGGGAAAACCCCCTGTCGGTTTCCAGATTTTCGTGTCGCGCTCTTGTTTATTCACAATAGTCGTAAAAGTTATTAAATAACGCATATTACACGTAGCAAACGTTGTTTGTCCAGTTATTAAAGACCAGCTAACATAATCCTAGGATCTTCTACGGCGGCTTTGATCTTTCTCAGGAACATCACAGCTTCACGCCCGTCGACCAGCCGGTGATCATACGTTAAAGCTACGTACATCATTGGTCGAATGACAACCTGGTAGAAAAGATAATTATCAATTTCAAATAGAGAGAGAAATTATGGACATAAAAGCTGGATAATAAATCTTCGTGACCCTTCGTTATGCATTTCTGCACTTGCATGATAGGAAATCATGATATCTGTTACTGATAACTGTGTTATCTCTTTTTCTCTTTAAAACACTTAATATTAAACCCTTAAGATATAAAGATTTAGATTGTGTGTGTGTGTGTGTGTGTGTGTGTGTGTGTGTGTGTGTGTGTGTGTGTGTGAGCGCGTGCGTGCGTGCGTGCGTGCGTCGAACTTTTTGTTCTATAATATTGAATCAAAGCAAAATTTTTTTAAGAATTATGAATATTTTTTTAAATTACCTGTCCTTTAACGGCGATCGGTCTATCGAAAACACCATGCATCCCGAGAATTGCGCTTTGTGGCGGATTAATGATAGGAGTACCCATCATCGAGCCGAAAACGCCGCCATTGCTTATCGTGAAGGTGCCACCATCCATGTCCTCAACAGTGATTTTCCCTTTCCTAGCTTTATCACCAAGAGCGGCCAGAGCAATCTCGATGTCGGCAAAGTTCTTATTCTCTATACTGCGAAGTACCGGCACGACGAGACCTTTCGGTGTTGCGACCGCTACGCTAATATCCACGTAATCTCTGTATACGACGTCGGTCCCATCTATGACAGCATTTACTACAGGTTGGTCTTTTAAAGCGTAAGCACTGGCCATGATGAACGGACTCATGAATCCAAGCTTGATACCGTACTTCTTCGTGAATGTGTCTTGATGCGTTTTTCGGAACTCCATAATAGCACTGCAAATCGATGGAGACATATGTTAAGTAAAACGAAACGTAAAAATGAACATAGTTTATGCGTATATTATACAGAGTTGGGCAAAGAAACTGGTGATTTAAAAAATCTATTTATTCTACCATTATTAGGGCAGTATTAGAGCTGCATTCAGAAACACTACACTGAAGGTAGTGAAGTAGTAGAGTTTAATTGATCAATTAATTCCAAAAGACTTAAGATTTCTTTATCATGATTAGTTAATTGAATGCGACTGTCCTCAGTATTTCCGAGCGCAATCTAGATTAGGTTAATGAATAAGTACGCGCTAATTTTTGCCGCCATTACTATTCTATCTAGTCCATTATGGGGAACAGTGGAGCGATAGACAACATGCTTTGAAAATATAACTTCTCAAGTCCATAAATGGCTTTCTAAAATGAATCGTTTCTTTGCCTCATTCTGTATAATACATACATATTTCTTGCTTATGATATGTTTTAAGTTAATGCTGTTGTAATCTTACATAACATTACCTCATATCAATCTCATTAAACGTGGTTAACATAGCGTTCGTGTTCTGTGCATCCTTGAGACGTTCCGCGATACGCAGACGCATTCTGTTCATCTTAACTCTTTGTTCTGTTCTGGTGCCAATAATCTCACGCGTATAATCGGCGGGAGGTAGTTGAACTTTCGCTCCTTCCAGCGACTGAAAATGTTATTATTGACTGCGACAGCGACTGAACATATGATTATCGTGGATACCATGATATACTGCTTGAAACAATTAGAAGGTCGAGTATCTTGAAAAATGTCTCAGCAAATAACCGAAGTTTCAGATATTTCTCTTGGTTGTATTCCGAACTTGTTGGTCGATAAATTTATCTATGTAAATGTTGTTATCTGTATAGTTCAGCATCATGCGATCCTCGCATTCAATACAGATAGCAGAAAGCGTCCAACGATGCGCCTCCCAATTATTCTGAGCGATGTATATTTTCCGGAAAATTCGTCTCACACAATTTTTACCTGCGCGTGTTTGATGGCTGCAACCGGCATCGAAGCTGAGGGCGCTTGTGGAGGTGGTGGTTGAGCGGCGGGAGGTGGTACAGGTGGTTGCGCCGCAGGTGCCGGAGGAGCTGCCGCACTAGGAGCTGCTTTCGGTGAAGGTGGAGGCGGGGGTGGAGCGGCTGGTTTCGGCTTCTCTTTCGCTGGTGCGGCTCCGCCAGTCGCTCCTATGTCGATAGTACATAACTTCTGTCCTGGCTTCACAGTATCGCCATCTTGAACGAACAATTCTTTTATGACGCCAGGACCAGGCGATGGAACAGGGACTGAAGTCTGCGGACAACAGGCAATTGTCAATAAGATGAATTTGCGTTACTTTCATGCTATAATTAAGCTTGCAGATATGCATGCACTATACACTGTATGTGCGTGCATAGATTCTCTTTCAAAGTTACTATCCAATGTTCTCTGATGTTCAACGTTTTCAGCATTTGCAAAAACTTGAGATTGTCTGTTCAATTAATAACTACATTACCAGAAAATAGCAAACGTTCTCCTTAATACTGCGAATATATTTAATTCTACGGAATTAAAGATGTATGAATATACCTTATCTGTTTCAATTTCGCAAAGAACATCATCTTCCTTGACCTGGTCACCAACCTTCTTCTCCCATCTCACGTCGCCTTCGCTTACACTTTCGGCGAATGGAGGAACTACAACTTCCTTGATTTCCCCTACTCGGATGTAACATAAAAATACTGATTATATGTATTCTTTGGAACATTTGATAAACACAAATATTAAGTTAATTATACTTACATAATGTTGAAGTTGAATGTATGTATTTTGCCTGGTTTATCCAATATTGGTTTCCTTTATATTTTCTACATCTATAGCAAAAAAACCATTTTAATATTTTTCATCTTATTATTTAATAAAAATTAAAAGTATTAATGGAGCATAAAAAGACCAAGATTTTCAATGAAGGGAATATTGGATATTATTAAATTATTAAATTAATCTTTATTATACTAAATAGACTAAATAAATGTTATTAAACTAATTATTAAATTAATGATTGCATTAATAAATGTTATTAAATTAAATTACTATAATATATTTAGCAGTATTTTTTTAAATTTATAGATATACATCTGAGTAAAGCAATACTTACAATACGGTTTTAGTATTAAATACATGTTTGGTTTGGATAAGTACAGGGCCTCCTACAAAAATAATTTGTACGGTTAATATTTCCTTATACTGACAAAAGTTTCCCAGTTGTTATGTTACTTCCTATAGTTGTTTCGCATTCCTTGCTCTATCTCATGTCTTAACACCTCTGTATAACCTTACCTTGACTATACAACGATCTCGTGATCTGAAAAAAAGAGCAGACCCAAGGATGTATTAGATTTATTCTGAAGATACGGATGGGATGCAAAGAAAATAGTGGCTAGATAAAAAACAAAAGATCCACAGTCAGGAAAACGGACGATTGATCTTATGAAACGCGCGCGCGATGTAACGGCATGGTCCGGTTAAAAATAAGTTTCGTTACCACCACGGAAGAGAGAAAGAGAGAGAGAGAGAGAGAGAGGACGGTTCGCCGCCGTCGATCACGCGGCGCCGTGATTAATCTGATCTCACTCGTGATGCTCCGGTGCTCAGCACTTGCCGAGGAGCAGCAATCTCAGCGATTTAAGGAGGTTCCTCGCGATGTCGGAGTGACAGATCACTGTGTCACGCGAGCCACGAATATGCCACAGTCAGGGAAGACTATTATGTAATCGTCTTCGCAATGGAAACGGGCGGATATTCTCCGATTGAGAAAATATATTTCTCTCATCGAACGTAACCATGATTCGGTAGCAAGAATTTACGATATCTCTCGTATTTTGAAAGTAAATGTCACAACTGCTCGTGCCGACAGCACGAAGAAATGTACGAAGCGAGCAAAAAATACGCACATACCTTGGCTCGCAACACGCTACCCCGCGTGATCATATGAGAAGCAAACCGCGAACAGTTGGACAGCATCGCGGCCATCCTCGACCAGGTGAAGCGTGCTCTACAACCAGATATTTCTTCGCGCGACGACGGAATAACGGCAGCACGGTTTCTCGCTTCTGAAAGTGGCGGAACAGCAGAGGGACGAGAGGAACGGGCGAGAAGAGGATGAGAGGCGGCACCTGTTAAGGTTGGCTGACACTACCGATGAGATAATATAACCTGTGGCTCCTGGCTACAGAATTATATAATTTATTTCTAGCAGAGACTCTTGAAGATAATCAGAGAACTCTAATATTACCGATTGTTTACGATATAGATATTCAACCATCGACGAGCATTTTTAGACAAAAGACGTAAGGTATGTTCCAAAATATATTGTCGGTACTGAAAATATTTTTTTTCTTCTGTACTACACTTTTTTCTATAAAATTCATTCTGAATGCATTCTGCGTCCGGTAAGGGAGAATCATGGATGTAGAAATATATGGATGGAACGTAAACAGAGTTTATCGATAAGGGGGGTGAAGCCCATTTGAGGGACGAGGAATTTCCAAAACTGTGCCTGGATTTGATTGGTTAAATTCTATTAATGCGCAGTACCGCCAATTATAAACAAATTACTAAGAACGTGAACGTATAATTTTGAAAAATATATGAAAAATGAATAAAATAAAATAGCGGATAAAAAGCGATTTTATATGTAAAAATATGTCAAAAGAAATACATTTTTTCGTTTGAGTCTTCGTTTTCGAGAAAATCAAATTTGAAGATTTGTCAAGTAAACAAGAATGTGACTAACTTTCGACTGAATACGGACATTCTATATATAAGGAGGTTATTCTATATGTAAAAATCAATCGGAAATGTGAAATAAAATTTATATTTATGGCCACAATCAGCACCACTTACCGTCGCTATGGCGAACGGTCGTTCCCCGACGTCTCCTGGACCTTGATTTGGGGTCGCACACCAGGTCGTCCTTCTCGGTGATGGTCCAAGACTACCCCGTCGGCAGGAACTCACTCCTCGCGTATAAAAAATCTTGATCCGGACTTCGTAGACAACGTGTCTTTTCACCTCGACAGTCCGGGAGAAAAAGGCGGTTCCTACTTTCCTGTGATTTCGAACTTGGTCTCGTTTCTACGAGGCCTCCGGGTTGGTCCTTCGCCTCGGCCAATCGCTATCTCCCTTTGGGAGCCTGCGCAGGCGCACGCCCCGTCGTCGCCGGCCTCTGCCAATAATTCTTCCTCGCGGCTGGCTTTATCCAATAACCACGAACGTGGGTCCCGCGCATGCGCATCTCTCTCTCGCGGTTCGACTGGCGCCTATCGCTCTCTTGCTTCGCTTACTTTCCTACCCACTAGGGCCAGCCGCCTAGATGTCCTAACCTTACTTTTGGCTGACTGGAGCCAGTGGCCGCGGTGTTCTAATCTTACTTTTGGCAAACTAGAGCCAGTGGCTGAGGTGTCCTACTTTTAGGTCGACTGGAGCCAGTGGGTATGCTGACCTGTGATTTCTTCAATTTGGTATTATGAAATCTTCCTCATCTTCATGGCCTTGTGCCGTCTTCCTCTGTGCGGGCTCACAGGCGCTAAACTTAATCTACTATAATGTTGCACTTAGTTTAATATATAGTCTAACATAATATCTCATATGGTTCTTTAATATGTTAATTTAATATAATGTTTAATATAATATCTCATAATCCTTTATTGTCTTAATCTAATATAATATTTAATATAATATCATAAAAAAATGGCGTCTCACGCTCTGCATTAAAAATTGTAAATCTAAAGCTTAAAAAAAATCTCTCATTTGAGTTTTTGGTACCGGTCCTGGTTCCTCTACTCGTTCTGGTCGGCTGTGCTTGCAAAGATGTTTCTGGTTACAGTAGAAACAAAAGCTGATGTTACTTGCGTTGTACAACGAATTTATCGGATGTGCTGATGGCTGTCGGAAAAAGAATTTCTGGTATGTCTTAAGAAAAGTTTAGGAACTCTTGAAATTCTATATCTGTTTCAAATTCTAAAATTCTGTTTTATTCCAACAGCCAATTGACATATCCGACAAACTCGTCGTATGATGCATGTGGGAGGACTTCGATAGACCACATAGATGATTAGTTAATTTAATATAAAATTTTCTAATTGATGGTCCAGCGAGAAGACTCCAGGCACTGATCGATGTGAGTGGACGTGTACTATCGCATTGTGCGCTAACAGGATCTTTCCCGACAAATGTAATACCAACTAAACCAACCTAAGTAGTATCTCGCTTCTTGTCTTACTAACATGCTATATAATCTTTGATAATTTCAGATAAGTCGAAGACGGACATAAATAGACAAGGATACCACTGTCTCTCTCTCAGCACGAGGTCATCTGCCAAAAACAAAGACAGAACTCTTTCCAGTTTATTACGTAGTTCAATGCCTTATATAGGATCAAAAAGAAACTTAAGAGCAGCCAAAACGACGTTTTCAGAAGACACATTTTTCGGTAAGTCCTCTGCGTCTGATCACGATAAATTGGACAAAAAGCGATGATTAAATTGATTGATTGAAAATTGACTAATCAGAGCAAAGTTCAATAACTTCAGTTTAGTAAATTTTGCTTTGACTGATCAAATTTCAATCCAATCTCAATCCTAATCCGTAGTCTGATACAGGCTCTCGAAATATTTAAAATCCACCCCAAACAGCACAAATCGTCTCCCAACGTTGAAATATTGGCCGCAGACCTGATCTAACTGAAGAGTAGGTAATCCTGTATATGCACATACACTATACATATGTACTTAATTGAAAACTGAGGCTGCGTACCGTAATTCACTGCTAGTGCTGAAAATCTGTAGTTTATGTTACGTATATTATAGATTTTCAGTACTGGCAACAAATTAACGCAACTTGAGGTTTTTTAGTCCCAGAAGAACATCATCTGCTATCTGTAATATTCGATGAAAAATTTTATATACATTCATAAAATATTTATAATAGTGTCATTCGAATATATTAAAAATATATTATATTATATATAAGCTACATTCCAATATTCACTGCCACTGTGCTGAAAATCTATAGTATACGTAACATGAACTATAGATTTTCAGCGGTAGCAGTGAATTTTGGAATACAGCTGCAATATATTAAGAATATACCAATGATATAACAGTGTTTAATACATTCTATGAATATATAGATATTCGTAATGAACAATTCATAGAATATTCCTGGGAGCTACATTCCGTACGATTAGTTGTAGAAAGGTTGCGCCATTTTTTTCAATGAATTTCGCAATATATCTAATGTTTAATAGGAAAACGTATCTCCTGAGAATTACTGAAGAACAAATTCTCTTATTGAACGCGGGATCCGTTCCGAAGCTTATAGAAAAAAAAATATTGTAACCGTTTTGTGACTGACTGTACACGTTTACGACAACTGTCGGTTCGTGTCGTTGCGCAGCTATTTTATATGATTAATGGTCCGTTCTTTTTAGTTGTACTGCTGAACTAGTTTAATAAATTAAAGCGAAACAAAATATACTTGATCTCGCTCTAACACACCAGTTCAGCAAAACAGCTAAAAAGAACAGATCATATATCTGCGCAACGACATATAACTAATCGACAGTAGTCGATAAGCACGTACAGAATATAGCCCCTGTGCTATCTGTTTTTATCTTCTTCGTATCATTAGTCGCAAAAATTTGTGTTGCTTTCGCATGTGCTACCTCGACACCATGGGATCTCACACACGCAGTACAAAAAAATAAACTTATTTATAGCGGCAACACATGTCATTCTTGTTATTTTCTCGCTGGATATTTCCTCGTCCGCTTCGAGGTTGATCGAAAAGATCAACGACGGATAAAGGCTTCGAGGACTGAGTGATTTATCAACAAGAACGTCGAGATATTTATTAACTTTCTCTGTGTGAGAAGAGCAAATAAAAAAAACAATATTGTTGTTCTTATTTTACTTGTCGCTCGCTTCTTTCATATCGCGTACTCTTGTATGTGCGGAAAGAAAGAAACGCGCATGAGGAGTTTACATTCGTATTGTTCGAGACATCGTCGTGGATGATTCACCTCGGCGTTGGCCGATTTGTCGTTTATCGCCAATATGTCATTCGCTTGTGGATAAAACGCGGATGTTATTTTAACTCGCGCGCTTGGGAAAAGAGAAAGAGAAGGAGAGAGGTAAGGAGAGAACGATCGTTTCATTTCTCGCCGTTATCGACGATTAAACATCACCGATTTGAAAATGGTATTTTTTAGAACTCAACGTCCGCGCGGCCGGAATGCGCGCGGTTGCATAATGCACACGGTAACCTTCGAACTCGGACGGGGTAAGCAGCGTTATGCTCAATAAAATTTTATTGCTGTCGTGGCAAGATAACCCCGCGACGACGCTAGATTGGAGACCCCTTCTTATTCATAAAATCGTAACGCTCGACTCGACTCGTTAAATAGTGACAATATATTTTACGGCCGTGCAATTTTAATTTTAAAGCGCCGTTTGTACATAGAATACTACAATTGTATATATATCGCGAGTACCGTAAGTATAAGAGAGATAGTCACGGTGTGAAATTTTTTGTTATTGAATTGTACGTAGTCAGTGACTACGTACACGGAAACGTTAATCCGGTTATAAGTAACAACCGTGGTTAGCAAACTCTTACATTCGATTGGTATATTCTTTTAGATCTAATAATATATTCCAGTTAAATGCAAGAACTGACTAACTACTGCTAGTCTTGCTATTAAATCGGATTAACGTCCCGCAAAAAAGTGGTTATATATGATTATATATAATTATATAAAATCATATATGAATTTTGCCCATATATGCGGTCACATATATGATCATACATGACCATACGAAAAAAATGATGTTACGTCATTCAATTAAATATCGATTTCACCTCAGCGTTGGCCGATTTGTCGTTTATCGCCAATATGTCATTCGCTTGTGGATGAAATACGGATGTTATTTTAACTCGCGCGCTTGGGAAAAGAGAGGGAGAGAGGCGAGAACGATCGTTTCGTTTCTCACCGTTATCAACGATTAAACACCACCGATTTGAAAATGTATTTTTTAGAACTCAACGTCCGCGCGGTTGCATAAATACTTCTGGTTACTTGTGCTTCTGACGGCATATCCCAGACAGCACAATGTCCAAAATCGGGATATAAGGCGTCTTAAAAACATCTTAAAGACGTCTTATATCACAACATCTTAAACACGACTTCAAGACGTGTAAAAGATGTCTCATGTCCCGATTTTAGACATTTGTGCTGTCTGGGATATGCTGTCAGAAGCACAAGTAACCAAAAGTATTTACTTCGATTGTATTTGCACATAATTTGTAAACAACAGTATTTTTTCGTTGTAGACATATATGATCTTATATAGTCCATTCACTGTTAATGTATATAGACAAATTTCATATATGATCTTTTTTCCCGGCGTTACCGTACAAACAAAGTCACCGATTATTAAAAGCTATTAAGAAATTCTTCCCACGAATTAAGCTTCAGCGACGAAAATGTATTATTTGTTTTTTTAATTAAAACATATGGACATTGTAATTCAATTCTTGTGATGCATAATTACTGAAAGATATAGATCTGAAATTAGAAAGATTGTAGGATCAATTTTTTTTCTTTTTATATTTCTGCTGAGAAAAGTTCTTGGTACATGGAGTACTAAAAAATATATCAGAATATCAAATTCAACTTTCTTGTATGACATTGTCTTAAAATTGTAATTTAATTGAATAACAGTGTAAAGTGGGGGGTGAGGGAATATAAACATACCTTTTCTATTGGAAACTGATAGATCATATATTTAAGACTTCGCTATAAATCGTGAATAGATCCTCACCATCGAATAATTTTTTGACAATCGATTAAGAGACAGGAATAACGTTGATGAAACAGCGCCGCCCGTGATTAATTATCGTAAAAACGCAACAGTGCGCGCAAGAGACGGTCGTAAATTTTACACAATTTCACATCACAGAGCATACATAGCGATGTTCCTTACTCGATTCTATTACTCTGCACTCGATATAAATACGATATGTTATACTCCACAGTTAAGATATGTGAATACCACTATTTCACAGACAGTTAGAGCACGAAATTCTCGCGAAACATGCATAAGAGTTACGCGCAACGGCCACCGATTAGCGCAGACCTTGTCGTTACGAAACATTGGAATTTCATAAAAACGTAACGTAACGTACGCACGCGCGCGCGTGTACGTCCGCAAGCGTTCGTATTTCGATAGATTTAAAGGATACTCGAGAGATTCTATATTCATAATACTCTATAGGAACTAATAAAACCTTGATATACAAAACAGGTTCGTTAGAGCGAAGACTTCAGTTACGTCACGTTATGTTAATAAAACATCGACTTACGGCCCGCTTGTTTCGTAGGAGCCAACGTAGCCTATGTGATTGTAATAAATTAACAGATAGTAGGGGGTGTGCGCTATAGTTACACAATGATTATGGCGTTTCGTTTACGGGGAGACGCTCACCTGGTTAAAATAAATGGCGGTCGTAGTTCGTCGACGACGACGACGACTAAACGATGACGAACGCAACGCGAGAGTTCGCCGCAGCGATGGTTTTTCGCTTTCCGTTCTCACCATCTCAATCAGGTTCGAATATAGCAAAAATGTCCTACCGATATAAAATACGATCGTTACGTAATAAGGAATATAATGACAAGTAAATATCGTTAGTATCACAGTCAATGCGAGACCCGCGCGAGTCACGGGGTCTGAGTTCGGTGATGCCCTCGCATCGTCCGGGTCGTACGAGCCTGAGAAAGAGAGAGAGAGAGAGAGAAAGAGAGAGAGAGAGAGAGAGAGAGAGAGAGAGAGAGAGAGAGAGAGGGAGGGAGGGAGGTCGACGATTTCTGGTCTCCTCGCACCGACTTCGAGAATCGTCTGAGAAGAGAATTTAAAATCCGAAACGATCGTACGAAGGTGCGCGGAGATCTTAAAGACGCTCGTCGGACGATTATTCTCTCTAATATATTTTTTATTTGCCTACACATACTTGGATAATATGTAATAATATATATTAATATATATTAGATTTTTCATATAATCATATATATATATATATATATATATATATATATATATATATCTCTCCGGTAGAAATATATACAGTTTTTCTAAACATCCATCCAGTTACTGCCTAATATTAATATATACTCATTAGTTGTAACAATACTGCAAAGGAAATGGATAAGAACTTGATTGTTATTCAGGGATGTTATTTTTAGAGCAAAACTGCCCATTTTGTTCTGTTTTCGTTCAATAATTAGATTCGGAATTTGTGTTCTTTTGTGTGCAGTAACTGCAGCGTTACATCTTGATTGGTGTTC